CCCCCCCCCAGCTTCCTCTTTCTTTCTTTTTATTTGCTTTTTTCTTTAAGGTGAAGAAAGAGACACACAGAAGACAGGAAGCTGATCTGCAAGGATTCGGGAGTTATGCTGAAAGGACTTTGATTTTTTTTTTTTTTCTTTCCCCTTTACAAACGCTGGCAATTGACATCACTACAGACAGCCTGGTACAGAACAAACTGCCTCATCCCGAGTGGACCCCGGCGGCTGGGAGAAGGCAGACGAGACCTGGGGAAGCTGTGTGTGCGCTTTTATTTTTCCTACCGATCCCCGTCTCCTAGTTTTTGTTGGTGGTTTTTTGGTTTTGTTTTGTTTTGTTTTTGTTTTTTGGCGTGTTTCTTTTTTATATTCTTGCTGGGTTGGAACTAGCGAGTGGTGGAAGGCGAGGAATCTCGGAAGCCTCATCAGTCATCGGGACTGTCAGGAATAGTGGTTTAAGAGGAAGCTCGGCCTGGGGCACTATACCCTGTCATCCAGTTCCCTGCCTCGGAGATAAAGATTCCAGCTACATGGGCAAACGCCTGGATCAGCCACAAATGTACCCCCAGTACACTTACTACTATCCTCATTATCTCCAAACCAAGGTATGGCTCGCGCCCCAGGCTGGCAGTCAGTGCGGTGTCCTTCTGCACTTGGGATGGGAAGCAGACAGGCATGTGAATTATTATTTAACCCCCCCATCACCTCTTCCTGCTTCTTGGAAATTAGTAACATACCAGCGGAGTTATTAAGGCAGTGGAGAACATAGAAGAAAGCAAGCCTGGAATTGTGGCTTGCTCTTTAAGGAGAGATAATAGTTTCACCTGAGTTCTTTTGTTGTTATTTGGCAGCGTAAATGTGCCTGGTATCTGTAAAGTCCTTTGCAGATGGGCAGGGTTGTTAGAAAAAGGAGATCCTAACAGTGATTATCAGGCACAAGAATAAAATTTCAGGGGCTTTTCTGATGAGCTGTTCTTTGTTTGCCACTCTTAAGAGGGTTTTTCCCACTGGATAGGACACCCCAGGGTGGGGGTAACTCAAACTTTTAATCTCTGAGTATAGGATAAAAGAAGGGTGTGGAAGGTGTAAGACAGTGAACTAAAGTCTCTTGGAGTTTGTTGGGGTGTATATATATGTTTTTTTACTTGCCTAACATTTTGTTTCATATGGAGGGTGATCAGGATGCTACAGACTGAATTGTGGAGCTTTTCCATAGATGTTCTTGACTTTTAGAAGCTCTGTTTGTCTGTGTCGGCTTCGATCAGAAGGCCTGGGTCTTGAAATGGGATGAAATGTAACTGATGGTAATTGGACACGTATTGGTTAAATACTTCAGGGTTTATGCGTGTGCTCATTAGGGGGCCAGTGGGAAGCCCACGTAGCTAAGCAGTGGGCAGTGCCAACCGTGAACTTTACCCTGCAGTTCACACATGAAGGACTCTCAGGTGTGATATCACGGCTCCAATTTGTCAATTAGATTGAACTTGATTTTGGGGGAGAAAAATGTTGGTAGAGTTCCCACCTTGAATGCACGGATTATATTTCTTTACCGATGATATTATTTTGTATTGCATTAGCCAGACTCCACAGTCTTCTTCGTGGATAAATATGCCGAGAGTGAACTAGGCATGCCTGAGTGATCTCTGCTGTCACCAGGACTCCTTGATGCGATTAAGCTTTGGTAATTCATGCTGTAGTTATCTCTCATTTATTCTGTCTCATCAAACAATGCCTGTTTGTGAGCCAGACCAGGCAGCAGACTTTCAATATTATATTAAAGATTGTTGCCTTTTTCCCTTCTGTTCCCAGCGCGCTGTGATTCGCCCTGCCCCTCCAAGGTCGACTCACATTGCTTTTTGCCTTTGTGAGCATTTAGTTTGTGCTGCTGCTGCTTAAATAGACCAGCCCTTCTGCTCCAGTGCCTTGAGTTTTAACTCTTTGGGGATTGGGAGGAGAATGGTGCCTGCCTTCCTTTAGGAAATGGCAAAGCAAGGACAAGCTGAAAAGGGGAAATTTGTAGTCATTTCTCATCCCCCAAAGAAACAAAAACAACAAACTCAAGGGGTTGCATGAAAAAAATATTGGACATTCCATCCCTTTTACTCATTTGGCTAAATTTTTCCAAATGTTTCAAAAATCACGCTCTCTTTTGGGTCCTTGTTTTCTACTGTGAAGTGTATTCAGAAAAGAAACTTTAGATGGAAATGAATGGAATAATTGCTTTTCTGCATGAGATTTCTTTTAACCTATTACCAGCAGGAAATAATGTCATGCGCATTATATTAAAGACACAGGGTGCTGGATGAGCCACCCTGGTGGAAAGTGTGTGTGTGTGTGTGTGTGTGTGTGTGTGTGTGTGTGTGTGTGTGTGTGAGATTGGGCTAAAGGGGAAAGTGGAGTGATGAGGGGAGAGAGGAGAGCTGTTTTGGGGTCCTATGTAGTTTAGTGTTGTGTAGACAGGCGGCATCTGGATCTTGTTACTTTCAAGCTAGTCAAAGCCATCAACTTCTGGAACATTTTTAAAGAAGTTAGATCCATTAGGCGACCTAAGCTGATATTGGGGTAATCAGATCAGGGTGGTAGGGAATATAAGATCAGCGACTTTGGCGATCATGGTAGTTCATATTGATTATTATGTTGTGAAATTTCGACAGTGCTGTGAAATTGTCGAATATTGTTACAGCGGCTCTGAAATGACAGGCATTAATAACATCCCTGGAAGCTGAAGATGTGAAAACGTGCCCTGTTTTGAAACTTGGTCACACAAGGACTGGGAGGAAGTGTCAATGTGCGATTGTATTTTAAAAGGTGGAGACTTTCTGACAGCATGGATGCTATATAAAAAAAGTACTCTTCATGCCCCAGTATAGCATGAAAACCCCTGGGTTATTTCAGTGTCAGTTTTTGCCCTTTTCACACTTATATCTCAAAATATAACCTCTAATAATTTTGAAGGACTTACCCACTGCTTATATTTATTTATACGTCTAGGTGGGATTCATAAAGTCCACTAACTTGGCTTGTAGTTATAATCCTATTTTGAAATCATAGCTGTTGAACATGATGCTGATATATGAGGAATACTCATGGTTGATAGAATTCTGTGGCTGATAACAAAGATCATACTCCGGCAATATCATGCCTTCAGCTGTTCTCTAAGTTCAGGTGTTTTTCACTAACCCACAAAAGCTACTCGTTGACATTCATTTTGGGTGGAAAAATCTTCATGGGATTTTAAAGAACTGAAATGTTTATTGTATTCATTCAGAAAATGCAAAAGTGCTGAGCCTTCTCTTTTTACTTAAATATGTGTGTGTGTTAGATACGGTTTCTATTTGCCTGTGATAAAACAAAATGATAATGGACTTTTTAAATAAATGCAAATCTTTTCCATTTCCTCAAATGTAATTAAAGTTTTTAAAAAAGTGTGACATTTTCCTGCCTTTGCTGCTTCCCTTATTTTCCATTATATTAAAACCCGTCCTTTAACTTTGTTGCTTAAACTTTTTTAAAAATAGAAATAAGATATTTATGTTTTTGTCCCTTTGAGTAATTTTCCAGATGCTTAAAATGCTTTATTAGAAAAATTTACCTGTAAGTTAAATAAAATGAAAACCCAGTGGCCTACTTGTAGCTATGCCTTGTAGCAATATTGTTATGGTATGCTTTCTCTCCCAGACCTCATATTAAAAGTTGTCATTTGTTAATTTTCTTTTTGATCATTTTGTTTTTCCTACCAAGAGGAGCAATTTCAAAAAAGAATATTGCTTTTGATTAAGGAGGAATGAAGAAATCTTGGTGACATGTCATAATATTTAAATAAGAGACATAACTGGATTAAAAAGCATGAGTTTCATCAAAAGAAATTTGCTGTTGGGAATCCACCCAGAATAATCAGCAGATTTTAGAGAAAGGGGACCGAAAAAACTGTTCATTAGCTAAGTGATAATTTACATAATGATGTTTGATTGAGTTGTAACCTAATATATCTCAAGAATTTTGTCACAGCCCATTCAAAGCAACCGACCTGTTGCTATTGCGTTTTGAGATCCAGAGTGAAACTCAGTCTGAATTGGAGGTATTTTTTATGTGTGGCAGGGGAACAAGGAGGGTGGCTCTTGCAAAAACAAACTAGTTACACTAGAAAAGCTAAAGAGAGTAAAACATGGTCACAGCCTGGAGAATTGATATTTTGCAGATGAGAAATAGATGTATCTCTCCTATGTATGCGATTTTTGGAGAACTTCAGGCGTCCTCATGAAACTTTAAAATTTGCACACACACACTCGGCAAGCGTGCCTCTCTCCCTTTTCCACACTCTTCCCAGCTCACTGTGTCTCTACCAATCCGGGACACAGTTTCTCATCACATTGCTCTTCCATCAGCCTACCGCTGCTCCATCTGCTTCCCCGGAAGGTCTTGGAGCAAAGGGCTCAGACTGCAGGACCCCGGCAGGGTTTCTCTGGTGGGTGACACTCGGGATCGTGTTCCGAGCCTGGCGTGAAGCCGGGGTCAGGTGTACGGGGTAATTCATCAGCTGCACGCGGATCCCAGGCTGACCTTGCAGCCCTCGGCAGCCTGCACTGCCGCCCTCTCTAAAAGTCGAGCTGGAGCCCCACGGTTGTGCCATAGAAAGAGCGGGTTGTGCCATAGAAAGAGCAGATTGTGCCATAGGAAGAGCAAACACTTGAGAACACAAGGGCTGAGGGGCTGCGAAGAAAGAGAGGCTCCTGGGGGCGAGGGCTGTTCTTAAAGATGTCAACGTGCAGGTCCTTCAAAAACAAAACAACCCCTCACGCGCTTCTTGCACATGAAAATGTAGAAAATCTTGCCGAGGGAGGGAATGAGGTTAGAGTTTCCTTAGTACTTCCTGCCCAGATTTGCATTGATAGCCAGAGTTGGGAACTTGCCAGTTTTCAAACAGCCTTGAAAACGTCCAAGTTCTGAGCTCCTTTCAAAGGCTGAAACATACAAAACTGGTTTTCGAAAAAACCTTTCAGCAATTGAGATTTTAGGTACAACTCCAAATATGTCTCTCGCTTCGGGGGTGTAATATGATAGCATGCAGCGATGATAAACCCTGGTCGTCTCATTTTAGGACGTGTACAGTTTTAATTGTTTTTAAGGAGAGGAAGATAGAAACGAGGGGCCACCCTTCCTCTGGAGCTGTTTTTCTTCCTTCTTTCCCCCCAAATCTTTATTATCATTGGGACTGTCTTATCTCTTCTGTAATGTGGTCATTGTTTTCACAACACTAAGTTTAGTGCCTACTTAAAAGGAGTAGAAATGTAAAAAGTTCATGGGCTTTTCCCCTCCCGGATAATTCCCAACTTAAGGGAAACACCATGTAGATTTCATTTCCCTTTCCAGTATCTTTCTAACGCATTTTTCTTTCACTTTCTCCCCATTTGGAAAAAGAGTAACAGAATTATAACTCGAAATTATTTCCATAAAGTAATGAAATCTCTTTGAAGGGGTGGAGGCTGGGGAGGTTTGCAGGGAACGAGGCAAGAGAAGGGGAGATAGAGCCTTAAGTTCATCCCAGGTCTTTCTGGCTCCAGGAATTCTGGCATGCTTCATTTTTGCACTAATATGATTTTACACA